TTTTAAATTTTAAGTAATGTTTATTACTGTTGTAAAAAACTCATTTTAGATAGAAAAAAATAAAGGATAAATGTTATATTTTCAAAGATTTGAATAAAAATATTAACATACCTGCATTCACTTGAAAATTTTTTCTCACAAGTAATGAAAAATTAATAAATTTAGAAAATAAAAGAGATTAGATGTTGCCAGTTATAAATCATAACACTTATATCTAATTTTGTTTTTTGCATGCAATTAAGATAACCTAAATCAGGATAGATAAAAACAGCTTCCAATTAAAACAGATTTACAGCATAATGTTATAATAAATAGTTAAGAAGTAAAATTGTAATACTATTTTTAACGTGTATATTGTAACGTGGTTATTAAAAATTTGAGTTAGCAGATTAACATTAAAAAAGCACATTTTGTTCTGAAACCAGTTTATTTTACAACAATAACAGTAACGTTCATTTTAAGCGTTGTCTTTTTTTCTTTTTTTGTAACAAACCCTTTGAGGTGTATCAATTTTTGAAAGCTGTTACCATATTTTAAAACGCTCATTTAAAACTATATCAAAAATAAAACTTTCACAATACCTGCCCAATTGAAATAACCCAGTTACTGTCTTTCCTACTCTCGTTTAAGCAACAAATTAATTAAAATGAGTACATCATCGCCCTACCATGGCCACACATTTAAAATGATGCCTTATTTTTGAGACTACGCAAATGCTAAAAAAAGAGTACATGCTGTTTTTGCGCATTGTCACTTTACTTAATAATGCGTAAAAGAATTTAGAAACTTAGAGACATTTGTTTCATAGCTTTGTTACACATGTTTATCACACATGTTTGTTACACATGTTTATCACAATTTCTAGAAAAAAATTTTTTTTACGGTGATTTAGTACGTAGAATATTTAGACGAAGAACATGCTATTCACTTATAACATATATAGAAAACGCCAATTTACAGTAAAAATAGTTGTTTGGAATTCCAAGCTTACTAATTTGTTCATGTTGGCATTATTTTTAAATATAAATTACTTATTGGCTCATTAAATACAAAACGTTAATTTTATATAATTTAAAACGTTTTTTAATCCCCTTTCTGAGTATATATTTTGAGAATCCTGTTCAAAAATAAACTAAAAAATTACTTTTTTTAGTTGTCAGCTAACACCATTATCAGCATATAGGTAGTGGGAGTAGATTCATCATGGGTTTTTGGACGCTACCAACACATCTTAATTATGGATGTAAAAATGATAATTGTCTTAAGGAACTAATAAAATCGCCTGACCGAAATGAATTTATTAAATATGAAAAATGACCACAATTCAAAAAAATATAATCATATTAAACAAAAGAAATCCCTTAAAGGGATCAAGATTACATTCTCAAAATGGAGAGTTTGTTAGCAAGAATAATAATGATATTCAATGGTAGGGACTGGGAGGCCCCACAAAGGGCACCCCCAGTCTCCACAAATTTTAAATTAAAAGTAAATGTATTTGTTCCCAACGAACATAGGAGAAGCATGGATAGGAGATCCAAATTTGGCGAATTATCAAAACATAACACAGCCAAAAAGAAGTCAACCCCGCATAATAAATATTGAGTTTGAAAATACTTTGGCCATCTCGAGTCGCCAACAAACCTGTAGGAATTATAATAACCCTGTAACTGAGCCATATTTGAGGTAAGAAATTAATAATAAAGAGTTATAAGTAGACTTTTGTTTTCGATTAGGCGCGGCGGTGAATTAATGAGTCTACATTAGTATTGAAACAATAAGTTAGCCGTTACATTGATCGATAAGAAAAGAATAAAATATTTTATGCGCTATTATAAAGATTAACTTATTGATTTAATTTAAATACAATTCGATTAATATGATTAGAAAAAATAAGTTTAAGTAATTGAAAAATTTTAAAAGGTAGGAAATATGTAATGCCAAATGTGGCATCACAGTTGTCGCAAATCATTATTTATTTGAGGAATTATTGCATTAATATTTTATTATTGCATAAATAAAAATGGTAGGGAAATCTTATGAGACTCTAATGAGGATAGTGGGATCAAATACGTCAAAATCAGTTATATTGCCTGAGGAGAATCTCAGTGTTTCTAATAAGTTGGTCCTTCAACTCTCACATTTGCTGTACACAAATCGATGATTATGCTCTCAGTGAGCCTTCAACACTAATGATTCGTTATATTTTGCTAACGCTTATTATTTTGCTTCCCTTAAAATATTATACTTTGGGAATATAATTGAATAATTTTTTGACATTATTTATTATTTAGGGCACTCAATATTGAACAAACAATGTAAGTGGCAGGAGAAGTATATTTTGTCATTTGCATTGCGTGGAATTCAGAATATTTTTGCAATTAATTGTAAAATTGCGATTACACGAATTCATTACCTGTTTACATTAGCCTTAATATTCAAAATGAGCAACTAAAGAAATAAGATTTGAATTGAAAACAAAACAAGCGTTTAGTTTATTCAACTGCCATGTTCGTTCAAACAGAGACACCGTAATTTAAAAGTAAACTTGCGCAAACACTTTGCTTTGTTGTACAACTCATATAAAACGTTTCAAGACTTACATGAAAATTAATAGCACGTTTCTGACAAATTTCTTGCGCTTCTGAAATGTAATTCGCAAATAACTAATTAGTATCGAGATGTTACCTTTTGCTTTCATTCTGCCGGATGAAAAGATGACAAAGCGTGATAAATTGACACAGAATTACTACCTTCATAAGAGTTATAATCCCTGCTCTACATTGTAACAAATTCAAAGGACAATCAATTAACGAGGTGCTTTTTCAACTTAAATTAAATGAAAGAGGCTTAACTCTCGGTATTTCGAGGAGGTCCTAATTAGCAGAGAGATTATTCCTGCAGAACGTGAATCCAGTATTTCGAATGTGCGAAGCACGCTTCGAAACCGTAGATACTTTAGTTTGATTTTATTATTCACCTACTTCTCTATAGTCCGCCTGCTAAAAGTGTAAATGATCTCTATAGTCCGCCTGAAGAAAGTGTAAATGAACTCAGCATTTTAAAAGTTTCGCAATTAGTTTAAGCTCATAATAATTTTAATTAGGCATCATTAAACATGTATGCTGTCGGATATTATTATTCTTGACGTAATCAAAAATAACCTTATTAAATTGACTTTTCCAGATGGAGAATCGAAGCAATTCGAAATACAAATTCTTTCAATAAATATGAGCATTTATATTTCGTACGTTGGTGTTAATTTTAAATAGATTTAGAATAATAATCTATGCAAAATATAGTATACTATGCTGTTCCATGTTACGTTGTGCAGCAATAGACAAAAATGGGAATGATTCAGAAATTTGAGGCTTTTAATTATTTTAATCTGTCCCGCAGTAGACTGATCGTTAAGACACGGTTCTCAGCAGATCACTGAAGTCAAGCATCATTGGCTGCTGTCAGTGTGCGGGTGGGTGACCACTTGGATCACTCTGCGTAGGGACCGAGGGTGTGCGGTATTGGTCCTCGTTAAACTGTTCTATTGTAAAGTGCTCGACTTCGCGTGCAGGTCGTCGGGCTACCGAAGCGGCGGTGCCATCCCCTCTGCAGAGGATCAAAATTGTGATGGCATGTCTTCGGATCATCCTCAGGGATGTTTCCCAGACCGTCGCCAATGGCCCATTGTGTAGCTCTACTGCCACGTAAATGAACTACAACAACAGCAACAATTATTTTAACCTGAAAATAGATTTTAATGATGTTTAATTAATTCCATATGTCCCTAAATCATGCCAGATTCTTTTTCAGCATTTTAAAAAGGTATGTGACTTGATTTATACGAGACATCATTAATGTGACATCATCCCCTACCGTCAAATGTTAGGCTGATCAGAGACAAAATACATGTTATAAATTATATTTAATGTTTTATTTTTTATATTGTGAATATTTTTCTTAATTATATGTGTGCGCATAAGCATACTAAAAATAAATCAACAGTTATTATGATGAAAAGTATAACTACAAATATGTAAATAATCTGTGATTTTAAGCTTCTCTTTATTAATACAAAAACGTGCGATGTCATAGTTCTCAATTCTTTCCTCTTTTCATAAAGTGTCTGAATTTAACGAAACTCTTATCCTCATAAAAACTAAGACAGATATTTTTTTCTATTAATCAAAACATTAGCTTGGAGAAATCCCCCAAAAATAACTTCATCAAAATCGAAAAGCAAAGAAAAGAAAACAATTCTTAAGTTTTGAAAAACCATTTTTAGAGTGCATTAATAATTTATAATATATTTTGTTTACTGTTAAAGTTTGAATTTGATTTAATATTTTAAAATTTTTTTAGCTATTAGTTTTGTTGGAAAAAATAACCATCGAAGTAAATTAACAAAATAAGTTTTTAATAATTTTTTAATAATTTAATTTTTTTAATAATTTGAAATTAAATAAAATTTCAACAATTTATAAAAGAAGAATTATACAAAAGGATAATTTTAAAATTATTTTTTCTATAATAAGTTTAAAAGTTAGTATTTTTGAAAGTTTTTACGATTAATTTATTACAGACTAGCCGCCTAAGGCGGCCAGCTGTCCGCCACTCTAAAGGCTTTCACAAATAAAGTTTTTTAAAACATAGCAGGAAATCTGAAGATTAGTGGACAATTAAAGTGTTTCTGTCCTGCAATTTTGTCTTCATATCCAGTTCTGCTGCAGATGTGTTATAGCTCTTGAGGATGTTTGAAGATGTAACTTTGCTATGGTAACCTAAGGCCTATGGTAACCTAACCTATAATATAACTATCAGGTGGAGACTTTTTTTTTTTTTTTAAAAAAAAGGCCTCAGAAATTGTAAAAGCATACAAAAGTTGCTTTCGAAATCATCATTGGCCAATAGCTGAAAATTAAAACGCAGTTAATAACATATTTAAGAAACAGCAATAAAATAAAACTTGTGTCAGTCAGCATACAGATAGTATATAATTCTTCCTATTCTTGTAAAACTTCTTTATGAACAATATTTTTAGTTTTTCCATTTGGTGACAACAAATATAAGTTCTTTTCGTCACCAACTCTTGAGCAGCCAACATAAAGCTGTCCATGTGAAAAGCAAGGCTTCTGTAAGTCAAGACCAACGACTTTTAAAGATTGTCCCTGAGATTTATTTATACTTATCGCAAAACTAAGTCGAACAGGAAACTGAAAACCTTTAAACTGAAACGGAATGTCTGAAGATATGATGGGGATGCGAGGAATAAGCACACTATTTCCTGTTGAATGTCTTGTTATAATCATAGCTTCAAAAACATTAGGCATCAATTATTTTCACAATCAATCTTGTTCCATTACACAGTGCACGTGGATCCAAATTTCTAAAAAGCATAATTGGTGCTTCAATTTTCAATTCTAATTTATGTGCAGGCACTCCAGGTGGTTCCAATGAGTTCAAAAATTCTGTCGGATAGTTGACAACTTGATCTATTTCCATGACAGCGTCGATGGACTTGTAAATTTCCAGAGCACCAGGTAATTTCTTTGAAAGTTTGTTATTTATCACGGCTCTAGAATTGCTTGTCGAAATTCGGTCATATTCCATCCTTCTTTGACGTTCCACAGACGTTTCTTGGGCCCTTCTTCTTCTTTGAGAATCTCTTTATGTCTTTTTCTTTGACACAATACAAAGTTTTTTGGAAGGCGGTTCTGCCATGTCAGTAATCGGGTTTTTAAGAAGTCAACGAATACTTTAGAACAACAATTACGATGAAAGCAAATCATGAAACTTTAATATTTAAATCTAAGTGCTTACCTGCAAACTGAAACTTTCTAAAAATAACTAATTACATTTAATAAAAACTGTTAAAATAAAGAATAGAAAAACTAAAGAGATCCAAGGTAAGTGTGATCGTTCCTTCAGAAACAATTAAATTCCTATTTTATATATTATATAGCTACAATGCTTAAGAAAAAAAACTAAAATGCTAAATACATGAGAAGAACACAAAAACGAATTAATTTTTTATCGTATCAATTTCTATTTCTACATTATTTTTTATGGTATCAATTTCTATTTCTATATCGCTACAAAAATTATCGTCTTCGCTTAAGAAAAAAAAATAGTGCTTGGAAAGAAGAAGAAAAACTTATAACAATTATGAACAGCGACAAATATAGTATTGAGTATAGTTAAGTGCACACTTTTAATACAAAAGTTAAACTTTTCTCCACTTTGATAAATGTACACTAATGCGAACCTTACAATTAAATTATTAATTCCTTCGTATATTATTGGTTTAAGTTGTCGAAAATTAATATTTCAATTGCAAGGTTCACATTAGCATAAGAGTGGAGAAAAGTATATGCATTTTTAATAGTTTTTTGAATATGGCTCTTTGAAGACGAAAAAGCATAGATTTTCTTACAAAATGACCGATAATTAAAAAACTAATCCAAATTTTTGAAAAAGAGAATAAATACTTCTTCATTATGTCAAAACACAATTATGTGCCGAGTTTCGTGCCTGGGCGAGGCTTCTGGGGTGATATATTGTGATTGCAGACAGACAGACAAACAGACACACAGCCGCGTTTATTATTATGTATAGATAATTATATGTTATTTCGTCAAGCATTATTTTCTTCAATGTTGCCCGTGACTTGTATATCATACAAAATGACGGTAAGAAATTAAATGAAAATCATAATTATTTTGGATAAAATTAAAACACATAGCAATTATAAATAACATTGCAATCTCATATATTTACATTGTTCACACTGTCAATATCTCAGAATTTAAATCCGTTTTACAAATCTTTTGACATTACTTTCCCAAATAAAAAATTTTCTATGTTTTTATGTTTACAAGTATTCACCAAAAGCTCGGTAATTCTTACTGATGCATTTTAACAACGAGTTTGGTAAAAATAGCAATAAATAGAGTTCTATAAGTAATTAAAATTGATAAAATTTGGTAAATATGGTAAAATTTGGTAATTTTATCATAAAAACTAGAACATAGCAGAAAATCACTTTTTTGCTTAAATTTACTTTTCAGTTTAGTTTATTTTACTAAACTTATGGTAATAATCATCAAAAATACAATGATGTTTCTTCATTAAAATGTCTTAGCGATTTGTCATTTTTATCAATATTTTTAATAAAATTCTAATTAATAGGATTGATTGTTCTGATATTTTAAATATCGTTCGGTTTTCTCTAAATAGTCGCAATGCACACTATGGAATAATATTTATAATCTCATTTTGTAAGTATAATAACACAGAAACAGGTTTTATACAGATTTCATAATATTTTTTATAGAATTTTGAAAATTTTCATGTGTCTTTTACTGTTTTTGAAAAATTATATTCATGTGCTATATTGTAGAAATGACGTTTTTTTTCATTCTATACACCACTGTAATAGGATTTTATCTGTTGTGTGTGTTTTCTCTTCAAATTAAAATAAAATAAAAAAAAGAAGTACAATTTTGAAAACCATAATTTCCTGTAAACTGTTTCTAAGACGGAAAAATTACCAAATTAAAAGCTTAAATAGTGTCTTTGTTGGTTTTATTAACTAGATTTATGGTTTTTTAACACAAGAAAATTTATTAAAATACAGTGCGTTAACTTTATCAAAATCGTTCCCCCCCCCCGTGTATTGAAAAAAAACCCTTTTCTGTAGAAAAAAAGTGCTTACTTTGTTTTAATTTTATTGATTTTTCAAAAAACTACTTTTACAAGTACAGAGACTAAACGAGTTTTATGTTTATATCAGAAGCTATAAATACGGTTTTTAATATTGCTAGTTCACTTTTTGCAACAGTATCAAAGTACATAAGAATGTAACGTCATGATAAAATTGTCAATAAATAAAGCCGTTTCTGTATAGCTAAGGTGGCTTGCAAACCAATAAACTACACCAGCTGTTTTCACGATATTAAACCGGTGAAACACGCATCTGAGAATTAATTGATTTCTAGGATACGCTATGATTTGTCGCTGTTGAGCAAACTGAACACTTTTCCTTTTTCTCTTTCATAGCCTTTATCTTTTGCGCGGGAGATTAAGCCATTTGGTATATCAATGAAATATTTTTAAAAGAAATACGTAAGGGGCTTTTAAAGCTAAGAACACACATAATTTGATTTATAAATCTTATTATTATGCATTTACAAATTAAGTTAATGGTAAAAGAAACATTAATATGAATATATTATGATAAATTTTTTATTGTACGAACTAGTTGTATTAAAAACAATTAAGGCATTTTATGTTAATTTAAATTTGAAAAAAAAATAGTCTTGCCACTCAAAATTATATTTTAAACTATGTGCTTACATTTTGTGAGGTTTTCCTTAGAAAATATAATTTAGAAGCACATGAAATATTTATAGCTTCTTAATGAGGAAAAAGTGTTACAAAATATAAAAAAAGTAGTTGTGTGGAAGATTAAATGGTTTACTATAACTATAAAACATTTTAAAAAGTAATGAGCAAGGTGTTTTTAAAGCTAAGAGAGAACATTATTTAATTTATAAATCATTAATAGGAAGTTAACGAATGAAATGAATTGTAAAAGAAATATTGATATGAATATATTATAATTAAATTTATACAGCAAGTACTAAACAAAAATTGAGACATTTTAAGTTAATTTAAGTTTTAAAAAAAGTATGCAAAACTCTTCTTAACACTCAAAATTACTATTTATTAAATTATGCGTGTATATTTTGTGCAGGTTTTCTTAAAAAATAGGTTTTATAGGAATATTAAATATTTAAAGCTTCTTATTAAGGAGAAAGGGTGACAAGAGTTGGAAAAAAAGCATTAATAAATCATTTACTGCACCAAATGTGATGGAATCTTTCGAATATCAACTCCATTTTATCTCTTTTGACGTAGCTATAAAATCTTTTTCTCTTCACTTTTTGCGAGAAAAGAAGGATAGGATATTACACTCTAATTTTCATAAGTGTACTCGCTCTTAAATTACTCAAGGGATTTTAAATATATTAAAAAGCTCTGTCGAACGAATTTTGCGGACTTATAAATGTATCTAACCAATGGGAAATATTACGAAAATATAAAAAAAAAGATGAAAGTTTTACAAAAATTTCCTTTATAAGTCCATATTATAGATATGCGTACAATAAACTTGTTTAAAGCAGATTTATATAAAAATATTTCAATCTTAGTTCTTCATAAGATTTTACTATATTAATTCTACACAAGATCAATAGAAATTATTGTAGTGTGAAAATTAATTACTGATATCACTATTTGATTGTTAAAGTGTGAAAAAATACAGTGAGACATGAAAAATATTACGTAATGTAGATGGGTAACAAAATATCATTAATAAAAGTATAAGAAGAAACTGTTGTAGTGTACAAATTATCTGCTGAAATAATTATTGGATGATTAAAATTTGAATGTATTAGAAAGGGAAAGGCATACTTAAAAATATGATATATTTGATTCCGAACATTTGATTTTTTTAAAATTTCTTCAAATCTGAAATATTTGATAAAAACTCTTTGGAGTGATATTTTTAATTTATATTGTAGCATTTAATTTTATATAATTTTATGTGTTTCACTTTTTTCTTTTGAAATCAACAACAACTCATTTATTACAAATAGTATATATTTTGGGCACTTTTCTTACGCTTAAAAATTACAAGAAAAAAGTATGTAAAAATAAAATAAGGTTTTCATAACAAATTTTTGAACAATCTATCAATATATCTATCTATCTATCTACCTATATATATATATATAGGTAGATAGATAGATAGATATATTGATAGATTGTTCAAAAATTTGTTATGAAAACCTTATTTTATTNCTTTTTTAAAAGTAAACACCAAATTTAGCGCTATATATATATGCTTGTTATTGTTTGAAATAGGCAAGTTCTATCACCAATAATTGGTATGAAAGTATGCGATACACACCATAACATGTTTTATGTTTAAAATCTTTACAATCATTTGAGAAATGATCAAAAATCTAAATAATTACTTTGTAACTACGTTTTTATTGTAATAAAAATACAAAATTATTTGAAATAAATACTAAACGTATAGGTAAACATTTAAACTTTTTAAATTATACTTAAAAGAGCTTAACAAATTGGATCTAAATAAATATTTAAAGTATAATTCATTTTTCAACACTTCTTAAGATATAACTTAAGACGTCCTAATAAAATCAATAAAAACCAAAGAGTTGCCAATTGATAGGGAAATGCTTGAGTATATGGTTCTATATAAGAGAAATATATCGAGAGA